TTGTCGGTTCTGTCTTTTGGGATCCTGTGCGTCTCAAGGGGATGCAGCGGAGGCGATGCTTGTAAGCCATAGCTTGAGACAAACGACGACGAGAATATCCACAAGCTTCCAGGCTTCCAGCTTCGACCATCCAGAATCCCTTCTTAACTTTTGTTTTGTTTCTTCAGCGTGGTTGTGCTTGGATGACTATGTACGGTTTAGCAGCTCTCCTCCTGAAGTGCGGTGAATGCTGTAGATACGCCTGCTTTAGAGAATACAGTAAAACCCTAAACCCTAAAACCCTAAACCCCAACAGACCATGTCTGGACAGGTTCTGGCCCCAACGCATCGTGGCTTCAAGTCCCTTTGTCTTGGGAGGCCAGCCTGGGAAGTTGGGAGGTCCCTAAGGCTTCAGTTGCCTATATGGTACATACTTCGGCCTTCAAGGGTTCCTACATGTAGATATGCATGCATGCATACACACATACATACATACATATACATATACACAGCCAGGGAGGCGAGGCTATAGAATGAGGCGGTCGTACTGCCGTTGTTTGCGCGATTCCGGAAGCAAGGATGCCTTGCTGTGGAGCCGTATATAGGCGGGCTTCATAGATCTCAGGATCGTTGTGTTTGTTGGTTGTCCCAAAAGAAGCCTGGATCTACTTGTCCGTTTCCGATATTGGAGTTCATCACTCTGAAGTTTTACATTGTACTACATATAATGTACGTGGTCAAGTGTTGCGCGCTGCAACAATGCTCATCACGATCTTGACTTGACGCCTATTTCTCGCAGCTCATCCTAAAGCCTGGAAATTAAATGCTGAGGCACTACGCCAAATGGTCCTCGGGACTGTTATGGGGGATACTTTCCCGACTTTGCCAAACCATAATCAGCATTCCTAGCATAGAAACCCTACATTCTGCCATGTAGCTAGACACTTTGAACCCTTTGGGTGCAGGAATGCAGCCAGACCCTGAGCTAATCAGAGCTCCAACTTCCAAACAAGAGGACGAGTAATATGTAGAGGTTCCAATAGCCAGCAACAGTCAATCAACCGATGCCATAATCTCCCCAGTATATTCAGTAGATCAGTCTGATTGTGACTATCCCCACCAACCTAGTCTAGCCATGCAGGCCGCTAGGGCTTAGGGTTTAGGATTCAGGATATGTCGTATATGCGGATATTCAAGAGACGGAGGGGGAGAGGGAGAGGGAAAGGGAGAAGGCGAGGGAGAGGGAGAGAGCACGACTCGAGCCTCAAAGGCCGAAAAGACAGACACCCAGACACCCTCGACTCAACCGCTTGCGCCATCCACTTAGCATGGTGACAGGGCGTGACAGCGCCACCGCTGATGGGCAAGCTAGTGTTCGGCGTGTGGGAGCCGCTCATCTCATGTTCATCGTTTGAGGCAGCTGGCTTTGGTTCTGTCGTTTAGCAGTTTTTTTGTTTCGTTCTTGCCGTCTCTATGTCTTGTCGTTCAGTATTTTCGCCTGTCTCAATTTATGCTTATTATATTTGTTTTTAACCTCTCTCACTGTCACATTTTTCTGTTTCTTTGTCACAGTTTGAAATCTACACCATCACTCACATGCCAACACGCAACCTACACACATAAGTTCATACATATGCAAACACATACCAAAGCAACCAACCTACCTACTTACCTACCTGCATACATACATACATACATACATACATACATATCCTACAAACCATTTTATACCTCGAAATGCCCTGTCACCCAAAATTGTGTTCTAAGCCTTACCCCCGGCCCCCTCCAAGAATAATCCTAAAACCCTAAAGCCGCACACAAAACACCTAAACCCTAAACATAAGTTGAACCTTAGACCCTAAACCATAAAGCCCTAATCCCAAAATATGAAAATTCAACAAGTCACCTTTTGTCCATAGGGTTCCTTATCGTAATCATATCTTATTTTACCCCAATCCCTAGACCCCGATATTCTGACCCTCAGCCCCTAAACCCTAAACCCTCGGCCCTTCAATTCAAGGCAGCCTCTTTGGGTGAGCCCCGATGGGCCCGGCGACGGTGGTTCGGAGGACACCGACGGAGGCCGCCAAGCGCAGGTTTTGCAGGGTTTGGGGCGGTTTCGGGTTTAGGGTTTCGGGTTGGGGGTTTAGTCTTTAGGGTTTAGGGTTAGGGCTAAGGAGGTTGTAGCATACAGAGTTTAATCCCCGGGCTTATGAGTTCAGTTTTTGTTCGGGGATTGGGGTTCCTTCGTACGGGGTACGGCATAGCGCTGCAGGATTCAAGGTGTAAGGTTCCCGGCTGGGTTTCAGAGTTCGTAGAGAGGTTCGGAATTCAGGATACAAGGTGAAGGCTTGAGGGTCCAGGACTCAGAGCATGTACAGCACGAGCAGCCTCACCGCCTGCATCATGACGTGATTCAACAGTAGCACGACAATCTTCATCGTCCTCATCATCATCTTCATCATCATCATCATCATCACCATCAGCACCATCGCTTCACCTCAAACCCTAAACCATAAACCCCAAACTTAACCTCCCGAAGCCGCAAAGCCCAAAATAGACAGACCCTAGTGAAAGGACCCCACGAGCCCCAAATAGCTCAAAAAGCCCAAGGCCCGAAACCCCAGCTAAGACCCTATAGATCCCTTCGCAGAAATCCTAGAAAACCGTATAGACCGCCTTATAAAGGAACCCTAAATCCCGAGAGCCCGAAGCTCGGAAGTTCTGCCAGGACAGCCGGGCGAGAATCCTGGCGATGACGGTGTGGATCCTGGCAGTTGGCAGGATGATGCCATAAAGTAGGGTTTCGGGTTTAGGGTTAGGGCTTGTGGTTTGATGTTTATGGTTTAATGTTTGTGGTTTAGGGTTTGTGGTTTAGGGTTTATGGCTTAGGGTTTAGGGCTTCTGGTTTAGGGTCCAGGGTTTAGGTCGGGTTTAGGGTAGGGCCTTGTTGGTTCTAAGACGGTTGCTTTGAGGGTTCCTTTTGAAGGGCTCCAGGCTAGAAGGGTGAAGTAGAACGGTTACAAGTAGCAGGAGGGTTTAGTGTACAGTAGGGCCTGAATGATTAGAGTAGGATTCCTCTTCCAGGGGTCTATACAAGCTCCATGACAAGGGTTGCTGTAAGAGTTTTGCAAAAGGGCCGCAGAGGACTTGAATAATCGTCCATGTTGCATGGTGCATGTCGGGTTCCATCTATGTATGTACGCGGCATCATGAGGGTGATGTGCTGTGACAACTATCGACGATGCAAGATCGATGCCACGTTGCATTTGTATGTACTGTGGTGATTGTGAAAAGCCAGATATAACTAGATAAACATGAACACGTAGGAAGGCAAACCGCCAAATGCCAAAGTAGGACGATCAACAGTGTAGATGACACGAAGAAGCATCGTTGCTTCTTTAAGGTTCCTGAAACCTTTGTTTTGTCAAAAAAAACAAATCCGACGGTTGTGTCGGCTTCGGGCCTAAACCTCACATCCCCACGGCAGGACTGGTCCAACTGGCAGTCTGCCAACCCATCATCCGACGGAAGCCGCGTCAATCGAACTCGGTTGGTGCCACGGCCACAGGCTAGAGGTTGGTGTTAAGTTACCAGGGTCTAGGTTGTTGCGTTCTGAGGAAAAGCAGTTCTAACCGCTCTCAAATGTTTCCGGTGTGTCTCGGGGCTCAGACTTGACATGTTCTTGTGACGTGTGGCATGTACTGCGTGCCGCCATCATGATTTCGCTTGAGGGCGGATCTGACTGGCTGTTGAGCTTGGTGAAACTCCTCTGCCTAGCTGGCTTTTTTTTCGCTCTCTCTCTCTCTCTCCCCCTCTCTGCTTCTCTGCATCCACGTTGCATTTCACGACGATGGTGATGCTGATGGTGGCGTGGACAGCGGCGATGGTATTGCTTAGAACGATTACGCTGATGAAAGATTATGCCGGTGTTGAAGTTGATGCGGCTGCTGGAGGCTGCTGAGGATGACAGCGATGATGTTGCGAAGAATGATGGCGATATGGGATGCCGTTGCGGTAAAGACTTGGGCAATGAAGGCCTCTTCGAGCCTGCTATGTATATGTAAGCATCTTCGATCTCCAGAAACCCTGCTTGGCACATAGGGAGAATGGCAGGCCTGTCTCCAACAAGCATGTTTTCGTTCTGCCGAGATGTTTCATGTGAGAGCTACACGGTCGAACAGTTCGTTGACACATCCTAGGTGCTCAAGTTTGGCCCTAAAGGTCTGTGGATTACCTCCGGGGCGGATTCCAAACATGTCACCATGATGCACGGAAACCAAAGGTCATCGAAGTTCATGATGAAGGTCCTTTCCATCCGTGCCTGGGCTGGGCATTTGATTAGGGGCCCTGAACCCCACACCAGCTTAGTTTGGGCTGGGTTGGTCTAGGGCAGTGGCCTCTTGAGATGGTGTCGGGTGGGGTGGCAACGAAGACACGATCAGTCCGCAACAGCCAAAAGCGTCGGCACGATGCATTTGAGGATGCCTTTGCTTGCGCGCTGTGCCACACCATTCCACGGAAAACCCCGTAGCCGAAGCCATCAAAATGCCAAGAAACCCTAGACACTCCCGCTGTAAACCAATAGCATGCGCCCAAAAAAAAGAAGCCACAACTCACTTTTCACAGAAGACCCTAACCCCGAAAGGTCCTAGACCCAACGCCCTAAGAACCTCGGCAAGTCAGAGTCCGAAGGCCTGAATTGAAAAGGATGTAGTTAATTAACACTTTGGTCTTTTGTCCTTGGCACATTTTATGGAGTTTGGAAGGTGCTTCACCTGATTGTGTGTATCTGGCGATTTCAGTCAAGCCAAGACGGAGGGCAGAATACATCTGCTCTAATTCTGTCGGATTCTTTATCTCCGAGCCCTGTTATGCCAACGTACTCTGTGTCTGAGGCTTCCCCAATCAACCCCTACACCCCAAAACCCTAAACTTCTTAAATCCCTATGCCCTAAACACCATAAGCCCTAAACCCAGTGTTGTCGCTTTTCTCTACTTCTGTTTCTGAGGCTTCCTACATGGCTTGGCTCCTGCCTATCGGCACTTTTGGCGGATCCTCGGGCTCCGTTTAGGGAGGCCTCGGGTCGCTTTGTACTAAGTAAATACATAAATAAGTACATAAACATATATAGACATGTATTTAGCAGATATTTTCGATTTTGGTTCTTATGTTGTTATTGCTGTTGTAATAATTATTATAATTACCATTTCTATTCTGATCATTGTTTTTATTATTATCATTATTATTACTATTGTTACTGTATTCTTATGATTGTTACTACTATTATTATTATTGTTATTACTATTATTATCATCATTTTTTATGTATCATCTCTATAGTATGGGTACATATGTGTGTATATATATATATATAGAATGAAGGCCTGCTTTGGAGGGTTTGGGCTGTAGGAAGGATGGTTGAGGTATCCGGCTGTTGATGTCGGGATTCGGGCTTGGAGTTTCGGATTTGGTGTGGACTTGGGGCTCAAAGGTTTGGATGTTCAGGTTTTGAATGTAGGTAAAAGGTGAACGGCCTAGCAATCAATTAGGGCTTAGCCTTTTACAACCAGTTCCTCGATGATGCCCATTGCCTCGGGTTTTGAAGGTTCAGGGTTCTTGGTTTACCATGTGTTGGTTTCAGTGTTGAGGGTTCGGTATCTCACAAGGCATATTTAGATTTAGATTCAAGATTAAGGGGAAGCTCAGTATCGAGAAAGCCGGGGGGCCCTCCCGTCCCCTCTTGTGGTTTCATTCTGAACCCTGAACCTGAAACCGAAACCGCGGGTAGGATCGCTTTAGGGCCTTTAGGGGCAGACCGAGGTCATGATCATCGGGACAGTAGCCTACTATTTCCGAGGCCACTGGCAGTGCAGGCCGGCTCTCTTAGGCATTTGGGTTTTGCGGTTCAAGGGGCTCTCTTGGGGACTCTTGGGCTTAGGCTTCAGGGCTGTAGTAGAGTTTGGGTTTTGAGGTCTTGGGTTTAGATAGGGGTTATCAGGACTCCGTCCCTCACATTGCCTCTCGCTCGGGTTAGGGTTTTGGGTGCAGGTTTCAAGGTTTGGAGTTGAGCTTCAGAGTTTCATGTTCAGAGTTTTGGTCTTGAAGTTTAGGGTTCAATGTTCAGGTTGCCAGGTGTCCTGGAAAAAGAGCAACTCCCATGAATGAGCAGTGTCCTTAGTCCTTCTTTCCGTTGGCCCGCAAGCCTAATCTCTCCGAATATAGGGACTATGCTATTTGGCCGGCGCCGTAGCTTCACGAAACTCTAAAGCATATACCCTAAACTTAAAAAAAACTTAAACCCTGTACCTACACCCTTAGACCCTTAATTGTCTGTGTGGGTGGGCACGGCCTCGGATATTCGATGAGAGTGTTGTTCAGGCAACAGGAAGCCGGGGAGTTTGAACGTCGGCTGTGAACTACTCGTTCCCTCCGGTCCGAGTGACATTCGTTTCATACTATCCAATCCAGGCTTTCTGCTTTAGGCTTGTGATCGTAACTTTCTTGGCAGCCCCTTTTAGTAACCAGAAGTAGTCTTCCTGCAGAGAAACCGAGACACCCTTATGGTAAGTCTTATTCTGCTCTGATTTCGCTTGCAGGAAATCAAAGGTGCTACCCGTGCCCAGCCAGCCGACACAATGGGCGCCCAGCGGACAGGAGCGGGCCCAAACCAGCATGTTTTTCAAGCCTGGTTCCTACCCTGCAAACTCGGCACTGCACGTTGCGATGATGTCGACAGATACCGAAGTGAAAAGTCGTCCGCTAAGCCTAAACTTCCTACACCCCGAATTCCTAAATCCAAGGCTCTGCAGATGTTGTGTGGTTGAACTGTGAACGCCAACGACGTGGCAACGCTCTTTGCTATGGCTGTTCCCGCACAGCGGACGTAGCCGGCTTGGAGTAGCAGTAGAAAGTCCAAGCATCCTAGCTCAAGTGGCGGGCTGGGACACTTCTGTTTAGGGTTCAGGGTGTCTAGGGGTTTGGGAAACTTCCAACACTTTGTTTTCCTCAAGGGCTTGGTAGGCCTTGTTTTGAAGCTTGGCGGCGTAGCTTTCTCGTCAGACCGTGAAAGGCACCACGAACCTCGGGAGGCGTACAGAACGTTATCAACACCGTGGGAAGCTGAGCTAAGGCCGACCAGGATCGCGTTGAGACAGCCCTATCTATATACGTCCTCAGCCACAAACCCCGAGCATTAGGATGTCAGAATAACCTTCAGCCGTACAGAGTTCGAAACTCTAACCAGGAGAAAAACACCTGGGCGCCTCGAGTCGCAGGAGAAGAGGTGCCTCAAGAGAAGTTTCGGGAGTTTCATGTGCTTTCAGAAGGTGTTGCAGCGTGTTATTTGGTTTTAGAGGGTTGTATATAGGGCTGTATGGGTCTAGAGCTTTTTGCAAGTTCTATAGGTGTTTAATAGCCGTGATGGTTTCAACATGCTTCAAGCGTTTTGGGGCTGTTTGGGTTTAGGATTAGGATTGGAGTGTGGGGTTCAGGGTTCAGGGTCCTGCCTACAAAACACAAGACTTAGTTTGACAGTTGGTGTTCCCCTTATGTGGGCCTGTATATTTAACCCAGGCTGGTAGCTGTTTGTCTTTGCTTCGTTTTGAAGGGCGTGTGGCAGGATACAATTCCGGTATCGCCATTCACTCAGACCTCTACATTGCAGTGACAGGTGCCAGGAGTATGGCACTGTGTTGATGAGGGTATGTGAGAAGTATGTATGTTTGTTGATGATGACTACGACAGGATTCACAACTGTACGAATAAACATGAACTTACCAAGATCCGGAATAAGAGTAGATAGCGTTGATGATGATGATGATGAGGATGATGATGATGTTGATCTTGATGATGGTGAGGATGATGCAGATGATGGGGACGATGCGGATGATCGTGATGATGATGATGGTGGTGCAGATGATGATGGCGATGATGATGGAGACCATAGTGGTGGTGTTGTGATGATGACGGTGATGATGACAATGATGAAGATGCTGATGATAATGGTGGTGATGATAGTGATGACAATAGTGATGGTGGCGATGATGATGATGATGATAATGTTGTTGATGGTGGTGATGATGATGATGCTTATTGTCACTGGTGAAGCTGCTCGCTGTGACTGGTAACGCTGTGGCACTTCTTCTTGTTGCTAGCTTCTAGCGGTTCCTGATGTTCGGACACTTGAATGGATTCGGTTGTGCATGTGGGAAATAGGGGCTTCGGGGTTTCTAACCAACTAAATGTCTTCCTGCGCGGGGTGACTAAGGGCAAAACTAGTGACAAGGGTCGTGTTCCCACTTGCCATCAAAATTCCACTAAACCCTAAACTCGAAACCCGGTCAGTGACTGTCCGAAGAAAGGTCGGGTTGAGGTTTGAGAGGTTTAGGGTTTAGGTTTGAGAGGTTTAGGGTTTGGGGTCCCAGCCCTAAACCCGACAAATTTGGAGTTCAGGAATAAGGGCCGTTTCAGACAATTCAGGGGTCCCGGATCCCTGATTTCGGAAAGTCTCAGCCTCCGCACAGTGTTCTGTGCTAGGTCGTGCCTGAAGGGGATGCGCCGGACGCTCGAAATGAATCCCAGACGTTTGTTGTTATTTGTTGTTGGTTGTTCAGGGTGTAGGATGTAGGCTGTAAAGTGTGGGTGATTATGAATGATTGGAATTGTGTTGTGTGTTTTGTTTCTTTTGGGCTTGGGGTGTAGAGGCCTACTGTAGACACGAGAAAGTTGGAGTGTGGACAAAGGATGATGATGGGGTTGTACCCCAAGCCCTAGTTTAGGGTTTAGGGTTTAGGGTTATAGACCATAAACCTTCACGCGACCTTAAGCCCAAAAACCCTGAAGCTAGTCCAAACCCAAATCGTGTGTAGCAGGCCCTTTCATGTACTCCTAAACGGTCCTAAAAATCCTTGAGCCTTGAACCCCACGCCCCGTACATACTGTTGATGATATAAATCCTGCATTACCTTAAGGACCGTAAGCTATGGGAATTATGGTATACTCCTTATTATGGGTAATGCAGGATTCCTTTCAACAACCGTATGTTAACCTCCATACCACTGTAGGAACCTGATTAAGAAACCCTGGCCCTATAGCCCCAAAGTATCAGGATTCATATAAGGAACCCGAATAAAGACCCAGGGTTTCTTGGCCAGGTTTCCATACTACCTCCTCTCATGAACATCATACCTCATCCGAGGCCCCTAAACCCCAAACCCTAAACCCTAAACCCTAAAACCTAAATCCTAAACGCTAAATCCAAAACCCTAAACCCTAAACCTTAAACCCTAACCCCTAAACCCTGAACCCTAAACTAAACCCTAAACCCTACACCCTAAACCCTAAATCCTAAACCCTAAACCCTAAAGCCATCCGAGGCTGAGGGCTCCGAGCCCTCCTTCAAAGCCCGGGCCATGGCTCAAGGCGTGCTGGGTCAGGGCATGCAGCTTCGGATGTTAAGGCTTCTTCAGCTAGTTCAGTTTAGGGCTTAGGGTTCTTCAAACGGCTTAGGGTTTAGAGTTTCGGGCTTAGGATTTAGGTTCAAGGTTCAGGGTTTAGGGTTTGGGGCTTCGGTTTCAGCAAGGTTCAAAAGTTCAGGGGTGTAGGTGTCATACGGGGTTCAGGGTTTCGTGCCAAGTGGCGTATGTAGTGTTGGGTCTACAGGGTCTATGCGGGGACCCTTTAAACCCTAAACCCTGAACCCTAGGTTTCAGGATAATTCGCGGAACGGGATTCCTTCAGGGCTTCTCATTTGGCGTCTCTCTGCAGATTCCTTCAAGGCTCTAGACGAAGTTTAGGGTTGAGGGAGTTTGCTTTAGGATCTAGGGATTCAGGGTTGACGGTCTAGTGCTTCGGGATTTAGAGGGTTTTTACGACTTGGGGGCTTAGTTTGAGGATGTAGGACTTCGGACTAGGAGTCTATAGGGTATAGGGCAGGCACTCGGAGTATAAGCGGCTGCAGCGTCACTTTACCATTCATGCAGCAGTACCAGTAGTAAAGTAACAGTCGTCGTAGTAGGAGGTGTCAGTGGGTCTGGGAGTGGGAGGTGGGAGGAGGAGGAGGAGGAGCAGGAGGAAGACAACCAAAAAGACCACGCTCGGTAATACTGGCCGTACTGAAGCCTAAAGCGCAACATAGTTGTTCTTCGTTTTGCTTCATGACAATTGAATATGTTTAGTTCTTCACAGATGATTCGATGCATGTGCAGTTAACAAAGTCGTTTCGGCGACGAGGTACATGCGGATGGTTCCACCTGAGGTCACTTGTTCAGGCTCTGGTCCAAACCGTTGGAGGTACCCTGAAATGGGCCGAATTTAGACTGTCGAAAATTTGATGGGGGAGGGGGTCAGAGCTAAGCCAAATGGTATGACCCCGAGACCGTTAGCCCTAAACCCTATGTCACATGTATAACGCAGAGCCCCTCTAAACCCTAAACCTAAACCCTAAACCCTATAAACCCTGCCCCGAATCTGTTGCCAGATACCGGCACCCCGAAAGCAGCTCCCGTGGCTTCGTGGATCACTGGAGGTCCACGGCCAGCGGGGTGCATTCGTGATTTGGGCCTTTAAGGGTTGCCCAAGAAGTTTAGGGCTTAGCCGAATAGTGCTGTCCAGTGAGTTCATTTTGGCATTGTGGCATACAACTACCTACCAACTTAAGATTTGAATCCTATGCCTCAGAGATGGCTTTTTTGGAAGCAGAGAGAGAAGAAACGGTGCTGAGTCCAGAGCCAGCCTTAAGCCCCTAACCCTAGTGTTCGGACTGCAGGCTGTGATGTTGTTTGGATGTCCAGGCAAGGGTTGAAGTCTTCCACAACTTCAGGGTTCAAACCTTGAGCCTTCACTCCTAAAACTTGCTTTATCTTCTGAAACGTGGCGGCGGTTTCGAGCTCACGCAAATTTCTGCTTCTCATGTATGGGCCTTCATAATCCTACTCGTGTTGTGGGGTATATACAAAGGTATAATTACTATACAAACTTTCAATAAGACTAGGGACTGTACTAGTTATTCCGACCGATTTCTTCTGCACGACCTCATGTTGGAGACGTGAGAGGGAGGCTACATGTGTCCACCACGCACACTTGCGTGGTGTGTTTGCTCATGATGACTTGCCCTAAAGCCGAATCCCTCTAAGCTTTATAGAATCCCACATGAACCCCATACCTGATACACTTTCTATTTAGCTTATCGACACTCCTTTTGACCCTCAGAATAGAGCCCGTAAGTAAGCCCTTCCTTACCTCACAGATCCCTGATAAGTAGCAACCCTTATAGATCCCGAAAAGAACCCCATAGCGATCCAAACTCCTAAACCCAGCTTCGATTCCTTCCCACAGAGCCTTGAACCTGAACCCTAAACCCCTAAACCCTAAACCCTAAACCCGAAATTCCTGTACCCTAACTCCTAAAACCCTGAACCTTTAAACCCAAAACCCTAAACCCCGAAACACTAAACCCCCAAACCCCTAAACCCCTAAACCCTAAACCCCTAAACCCACAGGAGAACTGGCCTCGAGCTCCGCTGAGCCGGCAGCTGCCAACGACCAGATGGCGAAATCCAAACAAGGGCCTTCCTTCTCCAGAAGCTCGGTTGAGGGTTTCGGGTGTGGGTTTAGGGCTTTGGTTTTTGGATTGAGCTGTTTGTTTTGGCTGAGGGTTTAGGGTTTTAGGTTCAGGATTTAGGGTTTGGGTTTCCGGTTCAGGGTTTGCTTTTAGATTTTAGGGTTGAGGGTTTAGCTGCTCACAGGGCGATAATCGGATTACTGGGTCTTCCTTATCCAGACGCATAGCTGCTTCTTTAATGTTGCCAAGGACCCGATTAGGGGGTGTTTGAGCTTAGGATCGTGTTCCGTTGTTTTGTAAAAAAATCAACATATACAGACTTTTGCCGGGACTTGCAGGATGTTCATGCGGCCTAAGAGCTTATCATAGTCTTGCAGGTATTTATTCCGGTGCTCGAAGACTAAGAAATTTCCTTTTTCTGCGCACCCTGAGCAAAAAAATAAGCCTTGCAACCCCAACTGAAGTGATCCTAAAGCCGTACGTCCCAACCCTAAACCCTAAACCCTAAACCCTAAACCCTAAACCCCAACCCGTGAGGTCCAGGACCAAAAGACAAAAGCTGAAAGCTCCGAGGCTCCAAGGCCCGAACCCTAACTCTTAAACTGGCGTAGGGTTTAGGGCTTGGGTTTTAGGGCTTGTAAGGGGCCGAACCCTAAAACCTTAACCGAATGTAGGAACCTGATTAGGAAACCCTGGGTCTTCAATCGGGTTCTTTGTATGGATCCGACTATTTTGGGGTAACCCTAAACCTTAAACTAATGTAGGAACCTGATTAAGAAACCCTGGGTCTTTTTTAGGGCTCTTTAACCGAATGTAGGAACCTGATTAAGAAACCCTAGGTCTTCATTAGGGCTCTTTATATGAATCCTACTATTTTGGGGTTATAGGGCCAACCTGATTAAGAAACCTGGGTCTTTATTAGGGCGCTTTATATGAGACCTACTATTTTGGGGGGTTATGGGGCCAGGGTTTCTTAATCAGGTTCCTAGACTAGAAACCACAGAAGCGCTGAAGTTTTTGCCCAACCGAGAAGCGAAGGGGCAAGGGGTCCAAAGAAGCAGTGATGGCATCCCCTCCCCAACAGGCCGCAACACCTGTTTTCAATGCTAAGGCGCCTTTTCACAACCTAGAGCTTATACCAAAACTGTTGAAAATCCCTAAAGGCCCTAAAAGGGCTCGTAACAACCCTATAAAACAAAAACTCTCATCCATAGAACAAACCCTGAGCTGTGTGCAACTCGCCATTAAGCCTTGCAGCAAGTCGGACAACCCTACATAAAACGCCCTAGATTCCGTAGACCCTAAACCCTAAACCCTGAACTCTAAACCCTGAAACCTAAACCCTAAACCCTAGATTCCCTAGATGCCCCATGAGCCCCAAGAGCCACCAGATGCCACGTGCAACCCAGGAGAGGGCTCTCGAGTTGGTCGAGCAGAGGACCCAAGATGTGTTTCCACTCGGCTTAGGGGTTCAGGGGTGTAGGGGTTTAGGGTTTCAGGGCTTTAGGGGTTTAGGGTTTGGGGGTTTAGGGGTTTAGGGGTTTAGGGGTTTGGGGTCTAGGGTTTAGGGTTGCTTTTTTTGTTTCTGGACCAAGTGTGTGTTAAGAGCAGCTTTTTGTCAGTATGTCATTCTCATTTTTGTTTTCAGTATCACAATCATCATTACTAGCATGCGACTCTATATTTATTTCTTTATGTATGCGTACGTGTATATATATATACATATATACACGTACACATAAGAATGGGTGAACTGTATCATTTTGAGGGCGTGGTTGGGGTTTCAGGTTTAGGATCCTAGTTCGGGGTATCGGTGCAGTGAACCCCAACTTGCCCCTACTCAAGGCTTCTTACCTAAAAGCCCCACAGCATCGGAATCTGGAAACCTCACCTGTATAGTCTCCATTGTAGTTCCATTTTCTGGGTTACCTGCATATAATTGGTCAAACCAAAAAAAGGAACTACAATGGAAGCTATAGGCAAACCTCCATCGTTGCACCCAAACTCCAGAATGCTTAGCGCTCGCTTGTGCCGGGGCAGAGGCAAGGGGACTAGGGCAGGGCAGACGCACCACCAGGCACGTCCCGAACCCTGAATCCCAGACCTCCAGATAAAACGCTGACATTACAAAGGCCTCCC